AAGAGTAACTAATGTAATAATCTGAACAATAAAGATTTAATTTAAAAAATTGTTTTCAGTGAGGAAGTTAGAGGGAGAGAGAGAAACATCAATGATGAAAAAGAATCATTGATCAGCTGCCTCCTACATGCCCTATACTGGGGATTGAGCCCGCAACCCTGGCATGTGCCCTGACCAGAAATTGAACCCATTGTGACCTCCAGGTTTGTAGGTCGATGCTCAACCACTGAGCCACGCCGACCAGGCAACACACTCACTCTTTTAAGAGCCACATGGCCTCCTGAGAGGACACTTGTGACCTCAAAAGTGGTCACTTTGCCTTTGAGACAGTAACAGTGCAGAAGGCTGCTCTGTGGCTCCATCCTCTGTGACGGGCAGTTGTACCACAGGCATGAAACGGGGTCAGCCCGTGCCCCACAAGAACGCTGCTTCCACTTCCTATGGGCAACTTCTGTCTGAAGGATGCACATGCTGAGACTGGGCAACCAGCCCCGGCCTGGGAACTTCCTTTTCTTTCTGGACAAGCAGCTCAGTCTCAAGATCAAGGCCACACAACGTGGCTTCTGGCATTGCACTGGAGACCCTTCAAACTTCTGTGTGCTCTTCATGAATCTGGGCCTCAAACACCCCTCGGCCAAGCAGGGTCGTGACCTTGGCCTAGAGCAGGCTACCTCAGCCTCGGCCCTGTTGACGTTTTGGGTCGGATCATTCTTTGCTTGGGGGTGTCCTGGGCATCCCCAGCCTCTGCCCATTAGGTGCCTGGAGAATCCCTCCCAACTGCGATGACCAAATGTTCCCTGGGGAACAGAATCTCCTGGTTGAAAACCAGGGGCCGGGAGCGGTCCAGGGCCCTTCCCTGGCTCCTCCACTTGGTGCAGAGACAGAGGCCTCCAAGCCGGGCACGGCCAACAGCGCAGACCTGGCTTGGCCTCCCAGAGGGCACCACACCATCCCCAGCCCATGGAAGGAGGGAAGCTTGATGGCCTTCCAGCTGGAACCTAAGCCTCCAAGCCAACTGCCTCCACGGTGACCCCTGGCTCCTCAGAGGCCGCACAGCGGAACTGGCTGTGCCCGTGGCCAAGAAGAGGAGAAGGCATTGTATTGCCAGGCACCCATAATTCTCTCTGCCAATGCAGGGGACAATGGGCCTCTGCCACCCACAGTCCGGCTCATTCTAAATATGACAACAAGGAGCCCATTCACTCTGGAGGGGCAGGGGACAGGCCAGCGTCCCTTCCAGGAAACGGGGGCCTTTGGCCTCCTCTGATTGCTGGCAACGGGGACGCAGAACCCGGGGAGCGAGGAGCAGGCGTGGCTCAGATTGCCTTGTTCTTCTCTGGTGGGAGGAAGGACAGAAACCAAGGGACGCCCCTCCCTGACCCGCCTGGCAGAGCTTCGCCATCTCTCCCAGACGAAGGCCCAACGATAGAGGCTCTTCTCAAGCCTCCGGGATGCACCACGGCCGGGGTGGAACCTGAAACCTGGGCATGAGCCACAACCGGGAATCACACCCACAACCTCGGTGTCCGGGTGACACGCCAACCAACTGGGCCACCCGGCCGGGGCAAAACCCCGATTTTCGACCACAGTGTGGGCTCCCCATTTTGACCATGCTGGTTCCAACCCTTGGAGGGAGGGATCTATATAGAAGCTCAAGGGGCAGGGACAGAACTGCCAGAGCCAGTGGGATAACTCCCAAGGGGAAGGCAGATAAACTGTGCAATGTGTGCGTAAAGAAACAAAACAAGCAAGAAAGGAATTAGTCGTCTGACTCAATGGCTGCACCTGTGAGACAGCAGTACTTAATAAACGTCCCTGCCACCGTCTCCGGCTCCCCTACGGCTCCCGCAGTCTCTCCGGGAACCGGGGGAAGGTCAGAGCGGTTAATCCCACGGGCTTTACGTGGCTGCAGACAGCGACTTAGAGTTGAATAAGGAGATAAACTGCTTGGCTGGTCATAGGGCTGCATGCTCTCAGAGCTGAAAACCCTTTGTGTATTTCTGTCTGTGAGGGAGTGCAGGGTTCCGCCCGCGGTGGGGCCCCCGGGAGGGGGGCTTGGCTCCCAGGCTGTGGCTTAGGGCTCTGGGGACCGACCCTCGGCACCGAGTCCTGCAAGGCGAGCTGGGCACTTCAGGGCACTGGGCTCGGTCCCGGTAGGAGCACAAGTTCAGTGGAAATGGGGGGAAGGGAGGGAATGAATGGAACAAAATGGGGAGAAACTCAGAGAAACAGTTAAAAATCTCAAAAGCAGTGAGATAAAACTTGGTAGGTCGTCACAGCAATCGATTCTGCCAACATTTGGGCCCAGAGATTGCGAGCACGTTGTGCAGTATCTTGCTTGATGGAGACTGTCCCCGCGTCTAAGAGGATGTGTAGCAGGTGCGTTGGTGTCCCCCAGGTCACTGGGCAGCCAGAGCTGATGACTCACAGATGTGGCCACAGAGAGCTGCCCCAGCCTCAGGCTTCCTCATGGGCCAATGGGCTCCCAGGAAGTGTGCTTCCAGCTGAAACCACACCCTGATCGGCTCCTTCGCTTTCCTGTCCTGCCCCCTCCCTCCCGCCGGCCTCCTCCAGAGAACATTCCTTCAATAGTAACACACATCTGAACCCAGCCTCAGGCTCTCCCTCTAGGGTAGTGGATCTAAGACTGGATGAGGGATGAAAATTTTTTAAAAAAACACAAAAACATGAAGTCTGTAGAAGTACCTGACCACATGAGACTGTGTGTAAAAGTTCAAGTTCACACATCAGCACTCAGAGCATAAAGAACAGGAGCCCTGGTGATGGGCACAGAGAGCCCTGTCCTCCAGCCAATCGGAACGTCCACACAGGCACAACTGGAGTCCTGGGGTCCAACCAGCGCATGAGAACTTACTGGCCAGGTGAGCCCTGCGGGCCGTACACAGGATGAGCGGCCCCATTCTCTGCCCCTGAAGGGCCTGCCTGTGAGTGTGGTCATCAGAGACCACGGGACCCATTCGGAGACGCAAGCCACACCCCGAGCACCTGGACCAGGC